TGGATGCTGCAAATTCATATTTGCAAATTTATATTAAATTTATATTTATACAGTAACCAATGATGTAGGCAATGGGAATGTAATGACAGGTGAGGAGTAAGTTGGTGTAGCAAATGTGGGCAATCAGGAGGGAGGGGGAGGGGTGCAGGCTGCATTGTCATCTCCCCCTTTTACCAGGACTTACGGCAGGTAGGAGGATGTTTTGTGGTGTCATCGTCCGACTGTGCTATGAAGTCACTGAAATATTAGCATTTGGCTGCCTCTGAGGACAGTGCTGGCAACATGCTAATGACAGCACCCTTACTGTAAGTGCAGGTTGTGAATGTAGACAGTCTCTCTCATACGCAACCTTCATGGATGGTAGAAATTTGTTTGTGTAGTGGTGACACAATGACAGATGTGTCCATTTTCATGAATAATTAGGGCGATAGAGCAGCCCTTGGGTTATGGTCAATGAATCAAGCCCAGAAAAGATGATTTCATGCTATGGTCAGCTTTTCTCTCACCCTTTTTGTAATCTTCCAGCTAAAGGTATTGGGGACAGGAATCAAGATTGAATGGGCCCGACCCAGCATGGAAGCTGGTTAGGGCCCCAGAAATTAATTTGAACTGACGATCATGCATAATGCATGGCAAGTATCACAAGTAACGTTAGATTGCCATGCTAGTTAGCATCCAAAGGGCAATTTCGGTTTGCCAGTTGAATTTATTTTAATGTTTGGATGTTGGTAAGAAAATGTGTCATTCTGCTGCACCAGCTGATGTTTTTACGATCTGAAATGCAGCGTTTACAGCAGCACATGTAAAATGGTGGTAGCCAACAAGTTTAACCCTTACCCTGCTTAGCCGGTTTTTCATGGGGGGGGGGGGGCGATCCCCTGCCGTTTACAAACTAAGAAAGGCAGAACCGGGCGAAAAAAAACAAAACAGCGAACTGTCTTTAACGAGATCTCACGATGGGTGAGAAGTCTCCGGCTGTTCATTGACCGCACTAGATCAAGTCTGAAATCAAATTTCCGTGAAAATCAAACTATTTCAGCTTTGCGTGTTGTTTGTAACGCTGAGATCATGCATCTTTTGCATCTTACATGCAGAGTGGAGTCATAGATCCTGAAGAAGGCGTGTTTCTCGTTTGATGATGAGTACAACTGTGCGCAGTTCTAATTGCTTCTAGCCTATGTTTGTAATGTAGGACTTTATTAGGGTAACAGTGCCAGGCCTCCGCGCGCAGTCCGCAGAACCGTCGCTTTCCGCCCGCCGTTCCTGCTGGCCATGGATCGCCTAGCAGTGCTCGTAAAAAGACACATCGGTAGCCCGAAATCAGAATAGCAAAGGGCACCTTTCTGATGTAAACACACGGGCAATGCATGCCCCAAAGGCTATCGAAGATTTGGGCGGGACTGCCCAATGTACCGGACCGGCATCCTCAAAAATCCTTAGAGGGAGGGGGGGGGGGGGGAAGTCGCCACATCGCCTCTCTCCCTCCTGTCAGGGCGACTATGTTTTTAGAAAGAACCAGCAGGTGGGTGTAAAGCTATTCCAGCACATGTCGGGCCAGGCTTGGAGCATGCCTAAGGTAGAGTGGATAGTTTGATGACGGTTGAGATGAGGCTCGAAGCTCACACGCGATTTTCCTATGGGGGCATGGCCTCGAGGAGGCCTGCATGTTAAACGTCATCCCCAGTGCTGCCTGCCACTGGTTCTTCCCTGTATTCTGCTGCCCCGGCTATCGAGGTCCTTCGTCGTCGTTTTTTTGCGTTCGAGGAAAGCAAAGCCAGCCGTAGATCAAGCTTAGCGGTGAGGCCATGGCAAGACCCGAGGGTGGAAGAAGACTGCTGTTGTGATTCAACTGTCCCATTGTGCGGGGCCGGTGTGCCTGCATTCTTCGCGGCAACGAATGAACGTTTTGGTTGTGTGCATGATACTACGGGTTGCGTTGATGAAAGAGACTTCCGGTTATTACCGACTTCTGATAACGCTGCTGGGCATGGACGCCATTGCTATTTCTTGTCGCGTGACATCGTGTCACACTGCTGGCGACAGTTTTGTGCGCAGAAATTCGGTCGGCGGCAAAAAAATACACTTTTACCATTCCACAGTGGTGGTTCCCCAGACACAAGACATCTAGCTGGAAGATTACAAAAATGTATGAGAAAACAAGCGCTCAATGTGAGCACTCACTATAAGTTCTCATGTTTCCTTTGATTGTCAGACGGCCCCGAACAGCGCCAAGAGACCGTCTGTCATTCGGGTTCCCGTCCCCGTTCCAGTTGAGCAAATCTTCTGCTGACCGAATCAAGGCCTCTTGTTAACACAGAATGCCCTGTTAGGCACTGCAGGCCCCTGAACGATACAGGGGCCCGACCGTTGTAAATCACGTGCCCGGTGCTGCCCCCGCTTGGGAAATGACCCCCAAAGCTCAGGCAAACACGGAACGGACTGTTCGTTGCTCGTGGTCTCTGGCCGAAATAGAGGAACGCTCTGTCTCAGAGGTCCCTATCGGTGCACGAGGTCATCTTACTGACATTTGGGATTCCGGTCCTGTGGGCGGGGGTTCTTAATGTGACATACAGCAAACCCTTCGAACCCCTCAGCCATCACATCGGGCCCTTGATCTTTGGTCTCGAGAGACCCTTCGGCCCCTCTTCGGGCCTACTCCTTCAACTCGAGTATAATTCTGTACTGCAAATCTGTGCACTCAACTCCCACTAAGCACGATGTAATTCGTAGCATGTTTCATGGGATTCTAAAGAACTCATTAAGTAGTGAAAAGGAAAGAAAAAGCATATACGTAGTATGAACTTTGCCCTCAGACAATGGATATTTTCCGCGAATTTTAGTTAGAATGTTGGAGGAGGTAAAAAACGCGCGTTGGGGCGATGGGCGGTAGGAGGAGGGATCACATCCTGTCAAACGACGGATTTTAAATACCACCTACGATAGATAAACACTTGCTTTGGAAAATCAAACATATCGTTAGAAAATCAACATTGCGCGTACGGATAGCTTGAAAGAAGGACAATAATCTGCAAGGTCTCTGGTAGATCTTGTATCTCGAAGCGTAAATGTCCGAGGGCAATGGATATCATTTATGCAACTCTGGGCTTCAACCGCTTCGCACGAAAACAAAACGTGGCTTCTGGAATTAAGTGCATACTGAGTTAAAAACATGAGAGGAACATAGTCTTTGTTGGGAAGTCTATACGCGCTGTTCATTTGAGACATAATGCACACCTGCAAGACGCTAAAATAAAACAGGAAATGCCCCTTTCGGCGACCATTTTTGGGCAAAACACGCTCAGGCCGAAATCCAGGGATGTATGAACCCTATAGCCCTTTTAGAGCTCAAGGTCGTGTGCAGAGGACAGGACCATCCAGACAGCAAGCGAAGAGAATGCTTTCTTATAATGATAAAAGTCGGCGGACAGTCCTTAACGTACAGAGCTCATCATAGCCGATTATACGAACGTGATAAGCGCCTCAACCGGTGAAGCGTGCTACCTTAAAATCGTTTACAGGTGTGAGTGATGCCTGACGCGTGATGAGCGATGCCTGTTTAATTGAATTTGTTTACATGTAGAACTGATACGTGATGCGCCATGTCTGTTTACCTGAAATTACTGGCATGTTTGAATGCACCGTAATATGTGATGCCTGTTCACTTGAATTCGTTTGCACGTGCATGTATTTTTCACCCATTCCAATTCTTAGTTAGATATGCACTGTATCGTAGTAATGGCTGACAATTGCTTATTGTTTCCCCTGAATGTTGGTGACCTGTAAAGACTGTGGCTCGCTGGTTAAAAACAAAACCTCTGAAGAATCAAATATCATTGGAAGGCAATTTTGATTTCGCTTCTGCTGCTCATGTCGACAAAGACATGATGCCGAAATATTAACTTATCTTTCTCTCCATTCTCCTGGTTGTTCTACAAGAAATAAGGCTTTCACTATTCCCTTATCTTTATGCATAATGTTCTTCGCAAATACACGTAACAGCTTACGTAATTTCGCCGGTGGTTTTACCGTGTAAAAACAATGACCTTGAAGTTTCCTCCTTGGAAGTTTTGAGGTTTTTGTTTTAGCTTAAGACCCTCCGACGTTTCATCGTGTAGCAGTTGTCCGATGAAGAAATCTTTAGCGTCATTTCCTCGGAGAGGGAACTTCCACTGCCGTTAACATTTCAACCGCGGGTGTCGTGTCAGCTAGCATCCGTGTCGTAGCAGTCTCGTTGGGAGCCGCTTTCGCAGCACCAGCCGCAGCGAGACACCCTCTCGACCACGGCAGGGGTGCATTGCACGCATCACAGCCCCCGCGCGCACAATGGGCGGAATATGTATTTCGTTGAGGCACACAGGACATGCCCTGCTCGTGGCATAACACTTGGCGGCGAGAAAGGCCACAACTCTGCCGATACAACAGGTGACATTGCTAAGTAACAGGGTGCGCTGTTCGTACTAGCCACGCGCGCCTGAGCACGCCGGAGGGCTTAAGGCCACGCGAGGCCGGGACACGACGGAACCGTCCGTCGGACAGGGCATCCGACCCGGCTCAAAATGCCGCACGGAATGTGCAGCGTACAAACGAGATTCAACGTTACATTAGTTCCGTATGACGCATGATGAGCCCTACGCAGCGATCTATACATGGTCCACTAGCTGGAATGGGTCTGGGCTGGGTCGCCTGCCGTCGGTGTGGCAGCCCCACGCCGGAGACGCCTGCCAAATCAGGCGCAGGTGATGGCTCACGTGATGAACGGACGACCACAACAGCGCTAAAATCGCGGCACACGTTTCTCCAGTAAAAAAGACGGGTTCATCCCATCAGTCCACACACAGCTCTGATGCGAGACGGCGCAGCTGCGAACGCTGCCGCGGCGGGCGCGGCGCATGGACGGATCATCGGAGGACGGGAGACGTTCCACAGAGTCGGCCAGCGACACCTCGCAATGCAGGCCGACCACGGTCTCGTCACTACCCATGGCAGGAGGGGGGGGGGGGGGGGGGGACGGCGGGAGGGGCGGAACGCGACGTTACCGGGCTTCAGAGTAGGACGTCCGACATACGAGGCGGACGTCTGCAGCGCCATCTATACCGCGCTGGACACCGGACATGACCTTCGTGCCATCTATCGGGCGCCAGCGAGAGCGACGGTGAGCGCCGCCAGCGCAGCTACGGCGGCGGCGGCGGCGGGCCGGGAGGCGCCGTTGCAGCCGTCCTTGCGCGCGCACGTGCAGACTTCGGCGTAGATGTCGAACGTGCCCATCGTGTGCAGGCAGAAGCGCTCGTCGCCGCCGATGCCGGGCTCGCCGACCCGCGCACAGTCCCGGATCACACGCCAGTTGCCGTTCACTGCCGGTGGGGGCGAGTCAGCGGAGGCGACAATCTCAGCACGACGTTTGGAACCGTCAAAGCCGGCGAGAGGGCGCCCGATTACGTAAGCTTAGATATTCTTGAAGAAGCCCCACATACCTCAGCAGATGACCCAGCATCCGTGCCTCTCAAACGGTGCACATAACTGGGTGTCGCGCGCGACGCGTCTGACCCTAGGTTAACTCACCAATGCTTAAGACTCGCGAACTCGCGAAGTGCGCCCAGGATGCACACTTTAATTGACAGTGAAGCGAACGAAGTCAATTTACCGTACCCTCAAGTTTCTCCATGCCTTGTCATGTCATTGGGGCTTTACGACGCACTCAGCTGCTGAGGCCATATGGCGTCGCCTGCCTCTCACCCTAGCAGGAAGGGCGGGCGGGGAATCGAACCCCGTACCTCTGGTTTCCCAGACGCGCTAACGCAGACGCGCTAACCACTACACTACCGGTACCCCCAAAATTTTATTACCGGCACCCCCAAAGAAAATTATCCACGTCGTGTACGCTGGTGGGCTGTTTTAGTGACGAGCACGGCACATGTTACGACCATGGATCGCGCAAGCTCGCATTCTGTTACCCAGGGGCCTGCGGCACACGTCATAACACCACCACCAGCAGCGCGGCCGCCACCCCCGCCGTGCCAGTGCGAGGCTCTCCCGCGCCGCAGGAGCGCACGCTCTGCTCCAGCCGCCGGCCGTTCACGGCGACGGTGGCGCCGGCTAGCGGCGACCACGGACACTGACCCTTCTGCCGGATCTTGCGGCACATGGTGGCCTTGACGCCGGGCAGGTGCTTGCGGTCGTCCTGCTTGTCGCAGTCGACCTTGTAGTAGGTGTTGTTCTCGAACGGGTCGCCGCAGCCGGGATCCTCCCGCGAGTTGCACTTCCAGCACTGGATGCCCGTCACTGCCGGCGGAGACGGCGATGACGCTGCCGAGCAGCTCATGTATGGCACCACGGCCGTGTGATGATCAGGCGTGCACCCTTTAGGGCACACTGATAAGGGCCCGCCGCTCCTTGTGACAACGCAGCGCTAGTCGATGCGGGGAGCACTCAGTTGCAGGGGCGCAGCCAGGAACGGGTTATGGGGGGGGGAGGGGGGACGGGGCAGAACCCAGTGAGCATGCATCATAACAGGATCGAAGGTGCCACTTATGGTGCTTAAGTTAGAAATGTAGGCCTAAGAGGGGGCCCAGGCTCCTCTCCCTCTCTAACCCTGCACCTCTGCTCTGCCAGCAGCCTGGCTCGTGCACCAATCACACGCATTCACTGACACTCGTACTGGTATTGTTGAGCAGTTTCTCCCACCCCAGGAGTTTGCCTGCAACAATGTTGCACGTCGCCAGTGTCGTGTTGCGATCCCCGGTGATGGAGGGGGGGGGGGGGGGCGGAGCGCTCTGAACATCTCAGGACACCCCACCCCATGTGACCCCATATAGCAGGTCACCCCACAGGATGGCTGACAAGATTGCCACATCAGAGGAAAATCTCACAGATCACACATGGACAGCTCAAAGGGTGGCTTGGAAAAAACTTAACAAAAAGGTACACAACCAGGCCTTGGTCGGACTGGAGTCATTGGCAAAGCAGCACCACCTACCAGCAGCTCAGTCACCAAGTCCCAACAGCCAGGAGTGGTAAAGAAGGACATCTGCCAATGCTGAGAGAGAACTTGTGAAGTACACACTGAGTGTCAGTGGAGCTCACAGGGTTAATGGTGTCTGGTTATGTTTAACACACCAATACTTGTGTGACACAGACACCATTTCAATGTAAAAAGATGTTATTTGATGCCAGCAATAAGCACTTTGTAGTCATTCCCTCTCAAACCCTGGGAACCTCAGACCTTGATTGTGCTGCCTGTAATGTAATCATGCCCTGTTAAGTGATGCTGTGGTATGTTATCACATCCTGTGTTTAGTGCACGCAGAACCAACACAGTCTGGTGTCCACAATTTTGTCACTGAACACTTGTTCACACCAAAGCAGAAATGTCCACCTTTTCAGAATGATCTAGAACACCATACATATTAAATCAGATCAGCAAAAAGGGGTAGTAAATTTCCTCTTTCTACCTGATTTATTCAGCACTTCTGTTCAAGAACATAAGAACCAGAATGGTTATTAAGGAACAAATAAAAGTGCAAAATTTCAGTCCTAGCATTAATTATAGTGAGACACTGCTCCTCAATTTGCATCATTTAGTATGCCTTAATAAGACCTGCATCAAGTCTGTAGATCAAGCAGTGCACACATCTTCATTTGTCCCTGCTTCAACTTTGGAGAGTAAAATTTCCAATGCCCAATAACAAGCACAATATATTTTGCCATTACATCTATTTAAGACTTGTAACCAGATTAACTTACATTCTGGGCTGAAGGGTGATTCACAGGTCTACGGCTTTCAAACAGTAACATCACATCCTCAAGTTTCAAAATAATCCATAAAGTCCCCTGAAAGCCAAGATATCTGCACTAAGTTCAACATGGTGCTGAACACGCCACTGAACAGATCACATATTCAAAACGGCAAAAATGATAATCAGCGTTCAGCCAACCATTTTTAACCTGATTCAACCCAAGACAAAATGCAAGACAACAGAGCTCATGTTTCCACTCATTGCACAGCCTCATGCTGCTAGGGCTACATTCATCTTCAACACAGCTGTTTAACATCAGATCTTCCCATGCATGATGTTCACATCAGATTAGATCAAAGGAGCCATGACAACAAAAACTTAATTTCTTTAGAAATATTCAAAAATACCCAAAGTGCTCACAACACTATGAAATCCATCTCTCATTAATCAGTACCTGCTGGTGCCAAACTTTGGAAATTGTTAATGACGCAACCAAGGCAACAAAAAGTGGAAGCATAAAAAGAGACAACAAAGATGACAGGCAGCCAGACTCATACATGTGCTTGACAGCCTGGTTTCAGCTATTGAGCTACAGGTGAGAAACAGCACCATACCAACATGCAGCATGATTAATTTGCAAACCACTAAGATATAACCAGGAGAAGACATTTCCTGGATATCATGAGCCAGCATGAAGCATACAAGAGTGCAAAAGGAATCACAAGCAAAGCTACTATGTGAGCTAGCATTATGAGCAAAGCAGTCACTAACTTTTTATGCATCTTGACCTATGTTCACCACATTAATCCACTAGGTATTAAAAAATCTAGATAAAAACGAAAACCAATGCACCATCTCCAAATGTGCATAAGACACACAACCACTTGGAAGGGCTGTCAAACTTAGATGCTGACTTGGATGCCATATTATTAACATGCTCCCCTGGGGCAAGCAGTGTGAATAATCCTGGAGTAATTATTAATAACTACAGCAAGCCATAGAAGCCCATGACAGTTCGACTTACCAAATCCTGGGTAAAATATTTGCATCAGGATAAACACCAGAGTAACCGCGCTGATGACTCTCACAAGCAGAGCCTGCATAATGATGCAGGTATGTCTACAGCAGAGGGTGAAATAAACGCATCAAACTGATGCCGAAGCCAACATAAAATGGCGCGTGAATTGTTAAATTACGAAACTAATGTAATCCAAACATAACCCGCACAGACCAACCGTGTCCCGTTCACACATAAACACGTCCGCTGACACGCCCAACGGATTCGAAATGCTATGTCTCAACTGTGTATGATATGCCTCAGATGTGTAAGGATGATGGTATAGCACACGGTAGTTGGGCTAAACTACTGTAATATTGTGATAGTCGTATAAGCGTGAGAAATCTAGCTTCGCAAACAAATGTTTGCTGCGGTGCATGAACAGACGAGGGTGGTGCAGCAAGGGGAGCAGAAGGTGCATTTGCCTCCCTGCCTGCCTTTGTCCCCTGCCTGACGACAGGGACAAAAGCTTGTTTTACCGCACAATTTTCGGGAGACTCCTTTTCCTCAACTAAAGACATTATGTTTAGACGTAAAGCCCCAAGAGTCCGATCAAGAGGGCCCCTTAACTGGGCTAAAGAGGAATAAATCGGACTCAGAAGAAATTTTGGGAAATTAAGGGACCCGGTTTCTGGGTTCTATGATGACTTTCTGTTCTTTCTTGGTCCTTTTCTGGTTTAGGAGGCACCTTTTTTGGCAAGTGGAAGCGAAGTTTTAAGTTTTTTTCGGTTTTGAGCACGGGACAATTTTGAATTTCAAAGCTAATCACCACGATGGCCGAGATAAGCCTAGAAGCCTAAAAGTTAGAACCGTCATAGCTTTTTTAGATGTGGACGGACCTGGTGAATATTGCCGAAGTGTCCCGTTAGGTGCTAAATGCACATTTATCTGTTTTGGAATGGTTTTCAGTGAGTATTCCGACAGTCACTGTCCGGAATGTCAAAAACCAACCGCACAGTATGGCCGCCCAGCGACCGGGCCCGTATTTTCTGCATCACCGGCAATTATACGCATTCGTAGTACTCTTTAAATCTTACGGTTTCTGAAATACCTTTCAGAAGTTAAATCAAATAATTTAAATAAAATACTACATGTAATCTCAATGTCTTAAAGTGGCCCATACAATATTCAAAGAAATTCTGGCAGGCAGCCAAGGATGGTGCAAATGGGAGCTTAGCGCCCTGAGCCAAGGCGGTTTACTGAGCCTAGGCGGAGAAAGAGTTAAGCTACGCGCGAGAAGGAATGACACTGAAAATGTCGGAGGCATTGCGTCGCTTCAACTTTACGGCAAGATGGGAAATCTTTAAGGGGTCACAAATGTCCCCCACAGGCCGGCTATTGTTTTTCAGCGCGTACTACGCATGAAAACATACAACTTAAATGCGCCTCATCGGAAGTCCATCGCAATGTAACGGGGCACCATGTAACCCGTACAAATCACTCATGTAAACTGGATAGGCCCGATTTTATTCATTTCTCGTTCTTTTCCAGCTCGTATCATTCTTATTCCAGGTCGCGCGGATGCCACGTATTCCAATCATACGGAGACTCCCAGTGACAGCGCCACTAGAGGAGCAAGGGAGAATCGACCCTTCCCATTTGTCGAGGGGACGATATCGCCCCTGGTGGGTATATTTGCATCTCTTTCCCTGTCCGTTCTTCGCAAGGTAAAACACAATGCGTGGGAACCCATCCCTGGAGTCGTCAAACTTGCTCTTCTTTTCATGACACTGTCCGTCTGCTCAGTCACAGCTGAATTCCGTTCCAGCGCGCGACAGGGGCTGAGTACCTGCTTTGTTTAATGGTGACACAGATGAGGGTCAACGCAGCAGCAGTATGTTATGTGCTCGCCCTGGCCTGGATCGAATGAATCTAGCCGATGCCGCAGTCGCTTTTGCCAGTCTAAACGCATCAAATCAAGGAACGTTTGGATGCGCTTATGACCGCACCATAAACGGTGGTGATGGTGCACACCTGTAATGAAAATGTGAACTCTCTGATCCGCAGCCAACGCCTCGTTAGGATGCTTTATTAACACCATATTAAATGACCAGATTTACTCCTTATTATTATTTTTCCATCAGCAATCAGAAACTTTGGACTCGGCCGTACAAGCCGTAGTGTAGCCATGACATAAAGATGCATGAAATATCCCCCTGCAGAACCTTTGCCACTCCACATACACACACGCTTACACTGCTACATGATATGGCCAGCTGGCCTAGATGCACTGTGCTGAGGAGAGGCTACAACACTGCGATAATTTTCTCCCGCCGGCATAGAACAACGAACGTCTGTCCACGTTTGGAGGACGTGAGGATGACAACCGTTTGGATTATTTCTTTCCAGTCAACGGTCAATGCGCCAGAGCTAAATGTTCCGAAAGTTGCGGGTCTCAGCCCCTGCCCGATCCCGGTTTCCGATTCCCATGACTTATGACATGACATGATGACATGACATGACCATGACATGACATGATGGTGCAACTCAGGACACATGATAAATTCGCGTAGCAATGGTCATATACGAAAACGCCAGGCATTAAACGCGTGATTTTTCATACGTTCTTAATTCAAAGGTTGCCATGATTGTACGGCCTCGTCCCCTATCAAACATTGGTGCCGCGACCCGTGCGCACAGTGGTATGTGGGAAGAACATGTGTCGCCACCGCGTCCCGCGAGTCATTAACGGCCCTGGATGCAGAAGGCCCGTTACAATGGTTGACAGTCACCAGCACCGCGCCGGCCCAGCGTTTGAACAGTCGCCGCCATGGAATATCGCCGATGAACATCGGTGACGGTCCCGTCCTCCAACGTTTATTACCACTCGCACTCTGTTTAGGCGACACAATACAGTCCCAGCCAAGACCGAGAAACAAAACAAGGTGAGGGAAACATGGGACTGGATGAGAAGCTTACGAATCTCGGGCGTAACGTGGTGACGAATTTGACCCCTCATCGTCTTTACGGACGGTAAAGCGTTTTTTGCGTCCCACAATGTCCAGGTGAAAAGATGAGGTTTTCAGGGATTGTAGAGTGCCAAGGAGGAGGCGGTATGTTTTGGTGGGATTCATTTTAAGGGAGTTATATGTGAAGTGGGACTGAATCACCTGGATGGTTTCCTTCTGTCGGGATTTTACAACAGATGGTTGGTATGGAGTCTAGCAGCTGGGTATCATCGGTATAGGACGTTAGACGTCCGTGAGGGAGGTAACACGTGAGGTCGTTCGTGAAGATGCTGAAGAAGATGGGGTCGACCGAGGATCGCTGAGGGACAACAGATTCATGCACACGAATTTTTCACACTTTGGACAGTACAGGCAAAATTGATGTAGGTCTGAAATTGCTTTCTTCTTCACGAGGGACAGGTCTGTAAAGGGAGGTGGCACAGGCAACCTTCCAAGAATCGGGAAAAACACAAGAGGCGATGTAAGTCTTGACGACATGAAGCAAATGTGATCCGATAGCAGGGAAACCTTTGCGTAAGGCATGCATTGCCACACCATTAAGCCCCACCGCCCTGTGTGATGACAGTTTGTTCGTAACCCCCGAAATTTCGGGCAAAGTCATAGCACGCAGTCTTACACTGCCAGAGGTCACGCTCGGTGGCCCTGGCAGAAGGGGGGGGGGGGAACCTCCAAGACTGTCCACTGCCAGTTCGGCAGCGATGCGTGGACCGACGGAAGCAAAGTACCGGCTAAAGTCGTTGGCCTTTCGCATGGGCAGATCCTCAGTGGCAACCCCCATCTCTCTTCGCTGGCTGGAAAGTGAGGGTTTCGATGCCCCGCTAGGCGGCAGCACGGTCGGCAGTCAACATTGCTGAGACCCCATGATTTTCCCCGGGGCAGGTCCCCCCTTGAGAAGAACACTAAGGGCACATTTTCGCTCCTGGTCACGGGCTAAAAAGCCATTCCTTCCCAGCGCAGTGTGCCTTCCGGCTGTTATTCTGGCGACAGGGGGGCAGGGTCCCACGAACAATCCGGAGACCTTTAGAGGGGTCCATCATATCACATTGGTCCTCTCCCTGACACGGGATGCCTCATGAACGGCGCGGTTGGTTCAGGTTCAACGCAGTAATCCGCGTTGGTGAAACAAGGCTCCTGATCGGCACGACTGATTCAATAATTTGAACATAGATCTCAGTTCGGTTCAACGGGCTCATGGCTGGAATTATGTTGGGGGGGGGGGGGGGCATCATTCGGTATTGGGACTCTGAATAACACAGAACATTTCCCTTGTCTTACTGTCAACTCCAATCATCAGTTGTCACGTTTCCTTCTATTGTCAGAGAGCCCCGACCAACGCAAGGGGGCCCCTTGCGTTGCGTTGGCCAAGGGGCCCCTTGGCATTCGGGGTCCCATTCGCCCCCCCCCTATCCCTGTTCAGCAAATGTTCCCCTGGCCGATTCGAGGCTCCTTGTTGGCACAGGACACCCGTTTGTGCACTGTGAGCCCCTGACCTACACAAAAGCCCTATATTGTGGTAGGGTCTCCGACCAATGAAAATCGCGAGCCTGGCCTTGGCCTTGCTTGAGAAAGGGCCCCGAAAGCTGAGACCGACACGGAGCTGACAGCTTGGTGTTGGTGATCTCCGGCCGAAATGGAGGAACATACTGCCTTCTGGGTCCCCGATTGGTGTAAAAGGCCCCTAACTGATATTTGAGATCACGGCCCTTGGGACAAGAGTCCTTTATGTAACCTACAGCCAGCCTAGGCCCCTCAGTCGGCCATTAAGTCCCCTGATTTCTTGTCTGGAGAGGTCCTTCAGGCCCATCTTCAGTGCCCCTCAGGCACAACTGCTGGCCGACCCGAGGCCACTTGCAGAGACAGGACACCCTGTTAGACAATGCAAGCCCCTGGCCGACACAGAAACCCGTCATTGTGTCAGGGACCCGAAACATTGCAATTCGTGGGCCCGAACTGGCTCCTGCTTGGGAAATGGACCCTCAGGGCTCGGACCGACACGCAACCGACTGGTCGGCCGCCTGGCGAGGTAGACTATGGTATGGATAGAAGAACGTTATAAGTGATCCCTGACAGAGGCCCTCTAACTGACTTTTCGGGTCAAGACATTATGCGTGGGGCGCCGGTCCCGCGAATTTGAACTTTGATACCAAGCGGTCGTTCGGGCCCTCCTCGCCCCCCCCCCCTCAAACACGGTTTCTGGCGCCCCGTAGCCACTTGCCAACACAGGCCCCCTTGTTA